TACATTTATCAACGTTAAAAAAATAGAATAATAATAAGAACTACAAGTTCTAATTTTAATTTTCTTCTTYTTCTTCATCATCATCGTCTTCCAATGGCTGTAATATTTCAAATTCCTCTGCGTTCTCGTCTTCAACGACATTTGTCTCCAGTTCTTTCAAGATTTCGGGATCAAAAGTACCGTCTTCATTGAAATCACTTTCATATGGTGAAGCATTAAGACAAGCTTGCCCATTACACTGGCCGCAAGCTAAAGAGCACTGCAACCCTGCTTTCCTGCATCCACATCGCGAACYACAACCATTTTTGCAGTTGCAGAATTTATTATTAAATTATTTATTAATAATATTATTGCATTATTGCATGGCTTATTGCAGTACATTTTGTTTTTAAATGATCTACCTTTCCTTTCCTGTTTTTTAGGATGACTTCTTCTAAGAAATGCAATAAAGTTTTTGGAATTTCTTGGTTAACATCATCCAACATTTTACTGGGAGGCGGATAAGATTTAGTTTCAACAATGGATGATCGAATATCTTCTCTAATTATAGCTGCTGCAGCTTCTACAATTCTTAGCCTTTCTTCTTGAGGATTTAAGTTTTTATTTTCATACCAAGCTTTTGATAAAATGTGTGCGTCACGAAAAGAGATAATCGTAAAAGCTCCTACTTTTTTCGTAATTATTATATTGGTTAAGTACTTTTGTTGGAGCCTTGAAATTATAGTTTTATCATCTGGTACATACCCTGTCAAGACATCTTTAAGCTCTTTTAGTGTAAATTGGGAATCGTTATTATTTTCTATGTAATTGAAAATCTCTATCATAGCTTCTGTAACTTGATTATCTTGACGAAGATTTGAATGAGACGATGATATTTTATTAGTGAAGAAATTCGTATAACAAATTGCATGGTATTTTGCTTCAGCAGCAATCAAATCATGTTGAAAAAGTATACGATTTTTCACCAATTCTCCAAAAGTATCACCACGTTCTTCTACTTTTTTTATAACATTGTCTTTAAACTCAAGAGTACTCACTGTACTAATCTTACGTCTATACTTTTCTTTTTTCTTTGTCTCTGCGGCCTTGTCAGCTACTTCACCACAAAATAAACACTGCTTTTTAAAATCAAACACTTCACTTCGTCTTTTATGCGGTACAATTGGAGAAGCTGTAGCTTCGTCTTGTTCTACTCGTCGTTTTGCTACTAGTATACAATTTTTGCTAATATAAACAGTTCGGCACTTTTCATGTACTTGTACAGAGGTAACTGTTTTTAAATAATCAATAAGACCGTCATTTCGTTTGATACTTGCAGTTCTGAGAGTTTTTATACCACGCACTACATTCACTAATGATTCACCTTCCGAATCTGACTTTTTACATATAAAACACAAATTCTCCATAACTCTTGAAATTGTACGTCCGTACTTGCCCAGATACAATTTAAAACTAACGAATAACGGAGGTTAGTTGGTTAGTAGAAACCGGTCGTAAGTAAGCAATTAAACATCTACCCTTTTTGGCTATAAATAGAAAGGTTCGTGCCATACAATAGGCCCGTTGTCCCAAGTATAATTTGTAACGTTTTAAAAGAATCTAAAAGTTTACGGATTTCAAAGAAGATGTACTAAATTACTCTCTACTTAAAATGTAATTCAAGTATTTTCCTTAATAATTTTATAATTTCACGTGCAGGTAAGTGTTATTAAATGAATAAGCATTTAATTATTGAAAAAAAATGATTAATGATAATGTAATAGTTAATAAAAAATGCGAATCATTTATA